TTATTTTTAAAAACCGTATTGAAACCTATGATCCATGGAAACTGAGGTTTGTCATCATGAAACAAAACACGTGGGTTTTTTTCTTAGCTTAAAATTAGTCAAAAAATGAAGAGGAAACAACAGTCTAAAACCAAACAGCTGTTTTGTTTAAACATGTTAGTAGTGAAAATAAAACGTTAGTGAGGTGGTTTAATTCTCAAGTCAAAATACTCACATGATCTCGCCAATACAATATTCCAAGCCGCAACTCTAATAAATTCAGTCACCTGTTTTATTCCCAATTAACTGTGACTCTGGAGTACGTGCTAACTTTCAGAGGTTGTGCAGTGTAAAATGTTTTTCATAAAAACACTTGGATGAGATTTTTGCAACCAAACTGGAGAGAAAAGTTTCATCTAATTTCAAAACTAATCATGTCTATATACTAACATCTGCAGTGACTGAACTAGCTCAACAAAAATTCAAAGCTTGTTTGTTCACAATGTTAGGTTAATGATTAATTTTTGTTCAAATTCTCATAAAAGTACATTTTCTAACTAAGTAATTTACCTCTGGATTTTACTTTCATCAAAAAAAGAAACTTTATAAAATAGATGGAATGTGGCTAGTAGTGGAATTGAGGACCTACTTGGGACTTGTCGGATGTATGTTGATGTTCACACCGGGACTTCAACCCGATATCTTTCGCTTCAAACCCCGACACGTTATTCACTGAGTTACGAAATCCAGATAGCCGGTCACTTGGGCAACGGGTATGTTATTTACATCGTTATTAGAATGACTTTGAATTATCCCGCTGCTGAAACTGTTGCCAACCAAGATTGATCAAATTCAGTAAACATTATCACCAACGGCATAGGTCAAACCCATTCTGATAATAATGTAAAAATGAAATTATTTAAAAGACGACTTAAAACCAAGGACCACTCGACAACTGCTTCAGTCAAGTTCCTGACTCAACAGAAGTATGAAACGATAGTCAGATAAGTGATTAAAAACATGACCTACATAACATCACGTAACCTCTCAGTCGATGTACAGTGTACAATATGGCCAATGAATTACTGTATCACTTTTAACTGGGTTGATAAAGCAAATTTCGTAAAATAACACCTTATTGAACAAGAAATTGTTCAAACAACAGGGAGATAAATCTACATTATTAGACTTAAATGTTTATGAACATATGAATAAATATATCATGTGAATAATATATGGCCTAAATGAACAGAGTGATTTCAGATTTTATGGCTATGGATTTTTAAATGTGCATATATTTGTTTGTATGAATAGTGAAGCAAACGAACTTGTTTCTAGGCTAGTTTATTTCTTAAGATCAGTAAGATTTCTGTATATATGAAGCGTTACATGTAAAGAAACTTGGATAACATGGATAATATTTGTATAAAAGGTTTCTGTGAGGTTGGTACTGATGCAATAGTTTAAACATAGTATATCAACATGTGTAAATAAAAGCATAATCATCTATGATATGTATTAACTTAAAAGTTTATGATGACTTTAATGTGACAGTATACTCAGAATACCAATGAATGTAAGTTGATTTTGAAAAAATACTATGGCTTATCCTGCAGCTTATCAAAATACTGTTCCTGGTATGGCTATTTGTTACAACTGTGGAAAAAATGTTACCTGCCACTTGTTACAACGGAACAAGAATGATATGATTCGGTGTAAGCAGTAAAGGTAAGACTGTACGTAAAGATTTATTTATGCACCAACCACTGATTTACAACAGATCAAGTTCTAAAAGTTTATATAACCATTCTTTATCTACTTCAGTTCTATCAACTGGATACCACGACTATCCTCTGTATCATTCATTCCACTAACTTCAAATTGTACTGAATGACTAAACACCACAATCACTATTATATAAACTTCTATGCTACAAAGAAGGAAATTATACCCCACAACCCATACCTGATGGAACAATTATAAGTCTTGACATTTTCAGAATTTTTTTAGTGATTTCTAGTGATTTATTTAGATTGATAACTATAGGTAAATGAAAGTGAATAGACAGCATAGATACATTATATAAAACATAAAATCTGAATAACAAACATGACATACGAATATAAGCATATTGAATATATTTTTCCATTGGTGAACACTATGAATGAAACAGCTGAAAAGAATACACTGACAGAAATTCAACCATTATTTATACAAAGTAACTTATCGGTTATTAAATGGTAACTTTACATGAATAACTAGAAGCAAATTATAAGTTGCTGTGAGAAAGCAAGGATTTCCTCAATTTTCCAAATCTATAATGAGTACCAATCTGTATATGACTCGGTTTAATTCTAACCGTTTATGACTATCATAAAATCGTTAAAATTAGTTAAAACACTTTAACAATCAAGCAAAAGGCTGTTTATCATGATCAATTAACAATTTTACCAAAAGTATGTATGGACATAATCATTTTAAGAAAGAAAATATATAATATTCGCTAGTATGCTGCAACCATGTAAGAGTGAATTGTGTAACAAAACATAGATCCAGATGAAAAGAGGACAATTCCACCCTACATGTAAACTCTTCTTTTATTTTTTACAAATAACAAACTTTTGATATTTTGTATATATGCATACAAGTCTAAAATAAACTAGCTACTTAAAACGAAAAGTAGGAAGTAAAACCATAAAAGTTATTTGACTAGGAAGGAAGAAACTAAATAGAAACAAAACCCATTAAAAATATTGTATAAAATATGCGACAGTTTTTGTCTATTCCATTATGTGCGTGTATCCGTTGAAAAGCATAAATCATAGGTAAAAGTATCCCTCCCAACCTATTCTAGTTCATTTTTTTGCTTTGCTTGAGGATTATTAGCAATCAACATTAGACGATTGTCACCGCCCGTTTAATATTGGGCTGATGCTTAATTTATTAATGGAATTAGTCAAATTATAAGTTTTCTTTGTGTTTTTTTACAATATTTTTGTCTTTTTATATCTTTAGTGAAATGCTATAAGTGCGGGAATATGTAACTGATACAGTTGGATTTTAGTTACCTAGTTCAAAATGTAACCATGCTGTTGGAACGTAACCGTTTTAGAATGCATTTTGGTGTTTTGAAATTGCTTAACTAAAAGTATATCATTTCAGTACAGTAAACTTACTAATGATTATTCATGAAAAACCTAGTTATGTCCAACGATAATTCAACGTCACTTTAAGATAAGTTATGTAAAGAATAACTTTCTTCTGGAATAATAAATCAAATTCTAAAAACCAATGTACATGATGTCTAAATGGATTACAAGGTCAGTTGGTGAATATTCGTTAGGTACATAGAAATAGTCAATGTAAAATAAAATCAATCAACTTTATGAAGCTAATGTTTGGTCAATATAGAAGACAATATAAAGAAGTAACATTTTGTAGAACAGGATATAACATTTTCATAAGAATGTTGCTAGTTTCTAATTAAAATTGATCATAGAGTAATCGAAATCACCAAGTTACAATATCTAAATCAATGAAAATTTAATGCTCATAAGTGACTAATTTTAAAGAAAATTCTTCAAATTTTTAGTCTAAAGTCATAATTTGTAAAATCGATTGGGTCAGGTTTAAGACATAAGTGAAGTTCGACAAAACATCGACCTCTGCCCAAACTCTACTGCACTTGAAAAAAAGACAAATTAATATCAATCTAATCGCTTGAAAATATCATCCTCTCCAAAAGACACGGAAGACCTGATTTCTGTGCTATTATCTTATCGCAAATGACCATTTTAACAGAATCCTAAACAAGGATAAATCGGCTAGTTTATCCAACTTATTTTTCAGTGGCCCATCACTATCCTTCAGATCGTAGTGAAAATAACCGTCGACTACGGTCGACTACAACATTCACAGGACGACATAATGAGAACATTTAATTTTCCCAAAACTACATTTTCAGTAATCGATATTTTAAGAAAACGATACAAATTTTTTTCAATAAGTGTTGCTTTTGTACAGTTTGTCTCCATGTCTGGAAGTCAGTTTCATAAAGTTGAATAGTTTCAATTTATTGTGACTTGTAGTATATAGAGAAGTAATTTTTTAGACACTATAACTTAAAATTAAGTGAAGAATCCAAAAATACTTAGGTTATTGACAAAAAGATTGACCAAGGTGGTCTCAAAATCAATATACTGACTAAAAAACGTCAAGAACTCATAGTCTGTGTACGTTAAATGATATGAATATGTTTGTTTCTGTCTTTAAATTAGTAAATAAAAGACATAGTTAGGAAGCTAATTTACAATTATTAGGATCTAGAAGGACTTTTGTTATTCATTATTTAAGGTAATGAAGTACAATTTACAATCATGCTAGTGAATTCAGATAAGCATAATTTAAACGATCATCTCATTGCTTTATCACCATAGATACACGAATTGATTATTACGACATATATCCTTTTAATTAAACTTCAGAAAACAAATTGATGAAAGTCATGGAAATTGAAATGGGAATACCAAGTAGGTATATTAGGTCACTTATGACGACATTATGATAAATTCATTTTTCAGTTTAACAAATAAACCGTGTTCTTACTATGATTGTTTTAGATGAATGCATTAACTTTAAGCAGTACGGGAAGGTGACAAGTCCTAGAGACCAACTGTCAAATCACTGATGAACTGCATTTGTTGCAAACACTCAACTGAATTATACTCGTGAACAACATTGTTTCTCCAATTATCTATTTATTTACTTAAACGCATAAACATTGGTACAAGGAGACACCAAATAGATTTGCGCCACATAAATCACTTGATTTATGTGAGGGCTGAGATAGTGCCTGGGTGAAATAAATATTTAGTATGAACCAATGATAAACCGAAGGAAAAAAACATGTCGTCAGAGTTTAATGAAGCTTTTATCTCCTTTTATTGCTTTTCTTTGATTCAATAATAACCACAAGTCGATAAACGATAGTGGATAATTTAAAAGAGCACGAATAAACTTACTGGCTTTGCATGGGTCAAGCCAAGTGCTTTCTGGATATAATATGGCCAAATCTTTCTCTGGCTCAAATTTTAGTGACTTTGGTATAAAATAATTTACTTTTTCATGTAATCTTTCGACGAATAATGTGGTTTTTGATATGTTGTAATCTTTAAAAATCTTTTTGTGCATCGGTCTTGAATTGGTTTGAGTTCCATTATAAAATCTACTGTTATTATTATTAGTAGCATTATTATTCATTTTGTGTTTTTTGACTTTGTAATTATATGGTTTCTCAAAATGTGAACCATTATATGATTGAAACTGATTCTTGATTAACTGACTCCTTGAAACAGATGGACCAGGATGAATGAAGTATACTTTCGGTATATTTACTATTGTTTCTTCAGTTACATGTGGATTCAGCCAGACCAACTGTATGTTTACAACTAAATGTACAAATGCATTTATTAAGATAAAGAAATGATCAACAGGAAAATTCATTTGAATAGTAGTGTATCCAATATCTATGTGTGTGCGTGAAATATAAATTCCGGTACAAATGGGTTAATAAAATCTTGATTGCAAACTGAGAATAAACCCAGTCATCAGTACCCTCTCATTTTAAATAGGTCACTTTTGATTGTTGATTTCTAATTTGATATTTATTTATGGATACACTGACTTATCTTTCTAATTATTACTGATACACCTGAAGGATATATGGAGTCATTGAACAATTTACTTGGATGCATCGACTATTAGAAAGCTGAAATTTCAGTACATTTAAAATAGCTTGCTTTAGAATCATTTTCGGACTTCATAGTCGCCGATGAACAAGCGCATATTGATTACCTGATATGTGTTGTAATCTTGATTCTAGTCAATACAAAACTGTAGAGAAACAGTTTTGAGATTAGATGAGATAATGCTGTTAGAGTTACGTAGGGTATTCTCGTCAAAAGGTCATAATTTATGGCATTGACCAATAGAGTCACTATCTCGGCCCCATCACATATATATACATAATGGAGCTTAAGACACACTGCCTACACACATATATACGTATGTTACAGGCTTACAAGTCAGTCTCCCAATCAAACGTAAATTTTTAATAGTTTGCATTACTTGATTGTGTATACGTACATGTATTCACCAGTTGTGTATGCCAAATTTTTTATTTCACTCAACACACCCAATAAACATGTGTGTACAAAGACAGCTGACGCATATCAGTTAATATTATATTATACTATAGGCCTTAGTATTTGCTAACAATTCACTGAGTTCTATTGAAATATAAGTGCTCATGTATTTGTACAGTACATCTCAAAGATTGGTACAAACGAAAACTTAACTACAAAGAAAATGTTTAGACATGTCGTTTTATCATATCTTCATTTTTCTCACAACCATGATGATTGGTTTTTTCACGAGCTAAAACAAGTGCTGTCAACACTATGAAATGAGTCACATACAATCTAATGTTATATGTTATGTAACTGCATTGTGGTGTTTAATCCTAAGATGTTAAGTCATAGAAGTTGGAGTGATCGATTTCTGTCTATGGATGCAGTTTCAACCTGGAATGCTAATATTTAGAGAAATATTGAGTGCCAAGGTAAATTGTTTCGTTCTACTACTCAAGTTCTCCAAAGTGAACAAAAAGATTTGTCATTTGATGGAGTTTCAGGATTTCAGATGTCTGGGACAAGCACGACACCGTTCAATAATTGAGAAGTGACCAGTGTACTGGTTGTCTGATCCTTTTAGTGCTGATCAAATTTCACTCATTAAGTTGCAATATGACCACCAGTCTAAGTGACTTGACATCTCATGAGCTATGTCGAAATTGGAACTGTGAAACTGAGTAGCACGGCAAAGAATCATGCAGAGAGCTCAATTCCCCTCGTGATTACAGTTATACTTTACTGGCGAATGTCGGACAGCTGGAAATCTAGGATGAAGGTGCGCAATCGACTACCTTAACCACCTAACAACTAATATTCTTGAATACATTACTTTTTGATGGAGAATTCCCATTTATGTCCACAAGTTTGAATGTTCACAAATCGATCAATATATAGTTGACATTGTCATGATCTAGGTCAATCAAGATCAATTATGAATATCACTTAAAGAAAAATACAAGATCACACACAATTGGTAATAATGGGAATGATTGAGCGTGTTAGTGGATATTGTGACTAAGCATGTCGGTCTATAATATTCTTGCGTTTGAAGTGATTATTATTTATTTTGATTCCAGCTGGAAGATGAGCAGCAGAATATAGTTACGTACAGTTTATGAGTCCTAAACAGATGAACTGTGAGTTCGAGATTTTATTGCTAACTACCATCCAAAACATAATCAAACCGCTATGTTTCAAAACTACTTAATAGATGGACCACGTACAGCTTCCTTCTAAGCAAAGCAATTGACTTTCTGATGCTAAACCTGCATAAACTTTGAAATTCGGGTTTATGACATCTTTTCAGACATTAAAATATATTTTTAAAAATACAAATTATGAGACTAAGCTATTATTATTACGAGTTAGTTGAAATTTAGCAAACCGATAATCAGAGATGAAATTTAAAAATACAAATTAACTTATGGTTATTCACTTCATCCTACTGTAACGACGTCCAACAAACCAATATCATATACTTCGTAATACGCAACATAAAATTATAGTAAAAATAAACTATACTAACGAATTTTAGTGAATCGGTCAGGTTTACAATAGTTACTTTTAGAATTTTGCGCGAAATTCAAAGAGTAGTGAAGGGTCGCATGTATTGTATTAGAAAAATATCTAAAAATTGTCTATATCTAGTCATTAAAATACATAAGATTGTTAAAAATTATCTTTTCGTCAACCACATCAAGAATATGTGATATACTGACGAAATTACAAGAAATAACTACTCCTGATGCAGATTGAATCTGAGAGTACTTGATGTGATCCAATAAGTAGTCAAAGATGATTCTGTGAATAGAAAAACAATCCCATCTTTATACTTTCAACACTTACACACTTAACCTTCATAATTCTAACCCTAATACTTATAATCATAATACCTAACCCTGACACAACTAACCCTCTCAACTCTAGCTACTGATCTTAACATATAACTATGGTTAAACTCCTAAGGTATAATCCTCACCCATTTTTGCTTACCACGATAAATAATTCAACATGATAGAGTCCATTATTATGACAAGATTATTTATCCTCTGAGATCTTATCTTTCCATTTTTAAGTTTGCATCTATTTTTACTTGGTGAATACTTACGTTTTGTCTGAAGTTACTTATAAATTTAATAGTACAAATGCTTTGTGAGATGAACGAAACTTTTGACACCAATCACCAGCTTGATATCTTTATCAATAACTATTGATGATTTAACTTGACCAACTGGTTGATGTACACTTTTTCATGTTGAATCAATTTGTTTCTAGTTCTTCCACATTTCCATACATTGTAATATCAATGATTTTGTCTTAATGGACATTTACAGATTTAGTAAATCCATATATAGTAGTTCATGTATTTATTTTTCTGAATTGGGTTGATATGCCAGTGTCACGAAACTTTCATTAGAAGTATGAAGATATTATTATTTAACTCAGCTGATATTAACCGTAAGTTTACAATGAGTAGTGATGGTCTCAGTTACTTTAATATTAAGCAAAGACATCTATAAAAGTAGAGAAAGAGTAGTATTTTATTTTATACTAATTCTCATAGTTCTACAGTCTTGCAATGATATCTGTTTTCTTTGAAAAATTACTTTGTATTTTGTTTATCACTTAAGGAATATCAATAAAATCTACATGAGTTAAGCAATCATCAAGACCATCAGCTTTAAAATATGCGATTTCTTGTCAGTCTCGATTCAAACCCTTAAAGCTCATATGAGGTAAATTTTATTTGAGATCTCATTATTTATTACAGTTAATAAGAGTTGAAAACAAATCATCGGTTCATTACTGAGGTTAAAGTTATTTCACAACAGTAATTGAATACGAGAACCAATGAAATGACATTTAACACATTTATTCGTCGACTTTTTCTTCAAAACTCGAAATATTTGCTGAAAACATGGTTGTTCAATAAAATCTTATTATTTATGAACCTTGTTGCTTTCAAATTGGTATACTATCACTTAACGTGACTCTATAAATACGTAGTCGTGAAATCGATAAAGTTTCAAGGTATCTAAAATCGTAACAAGTATTACTTGTTTAAATTTATTCAAAAAGATTATTTCCACCTATCGAAACATTCTGGCATTTCTTAATTGTCTCGGTTGCTTACAGTATTGTATAAGAGGGACTCTTAAATATGGTGTGTTTGAAAATACTAAAAATTCTAAAGACTGAGAACAATTTTATTTTACTATACAATTAAAATGAACTAGAGCCTTTTGGAAATGCATTCTATTTCGAATTAAAGGTATTTTTTTACATTTTTCCTTGAACGGACATTATAGTAATATAATTTAAGCTAACTGATAATTTAGTTTACATTGAATCTTTGAGTAAATTCCTCAGAAACACTAGACAATAACTACGATCCATAATTGATTATTATAAACACTTGTTTCATTGACCTTCTTTATATTAAACTGTATATTGACAAGTCTACTAAGTGAACGGTCGATTTGATTTCCGAACTGTTTCTAATAACCCCATACTAAATTCACACTGCAACCTGAACGCAAGAGAAAAGGTGCGAATTGTAAAAATGAGCTTTATAAAAGGGTTTAGATCGTGCGTATATATCCAAACGTGATCATGATAATCTTGGAAGTTATGGAATTGGAGACACATACTAAATATAGCGGTAAGAAGGCTATTATCTAGTGAGAAGACAACTATGTTTCGAAGGAACGTCTTTACAATCATGATTGGCTAAAATGTTTCAAAGAGTAATCTGGGTCCCTATAGATATTTCCGAGCAGTGTTTTGGAATTCCCCAACAATGATGGTTGTAAAAATTTTACATATTCAACAGTAAACAATGCTTAGCTTTTAGTTGCCTTTAAGTAAATAATAATCTATGATGGAAATCACATGAATTCAGGGTATATTATCATTAAAAGTCAGCGAAACAATCCAGATGGAAACAATAGCCGATATCACTTTAGTCCAATGAATATCTTTTCTTAAGTATCAATTTCTTATACGGTTGACAAAAGACAAAATGGCAAATTCTAATCTCATTCATGTCAAGATAGCCTGAACTAACAAGAATTTGTATATATACAAACATATCATCTAGTAAGAAATTTGTTACATTTGTGAATATTTCATAACCTTAAAACCAAAATGAACATACAGTTTTGTAAAAACTGAAACTTGTATGCTAATTAGTTGCTCGTTTTTTGTGTTTTTTTTTCATTTGTTCCTGTTTCTTGTTCCAATGTCACTCAATGAATCAGAAAATGTTTTTTTTTGTTTTCAAAAAAAATCGATGAACTTAAATTTGGAAGGTAATCTGTAGGAAAATATTTTGTAAACCAGAAGTTATACCTGATAATAAAATTAAAAAAATTTAATAAAATAGATAAGTAAATAATATTTTTCGTAAGTAAGAAAGAGTTATGCTATCCAGTGCAAAAATCTCATTCCGTCTGTTTTTACCAAATAGAGTATCATTGGGACGACAGAAAGATGTTCACATTTATTTTTCTTTTTAATGCATAGAAGCAAAACTAGCTGGAGAACTGTCTATGGTTAAAAAACATTGGTAAGCTACTTTATCTGCTTTCGACTCACTAAAAAGAGAAAGAGAAAACTCGAATCAATGTTGATTCTCCTGATCTCCCACATTATCCGGATATTCCATGTACCTATATTAATTGTTCTCTGGTTGTCAGAAGGGGTATCGGTGTAGTGAATTCTAAAAAACCTCGGCTCTCACCATGAGGCGTCATAATTCTTCTGAATGGAGATCCTTCAAATTAGCGGACAGAGTTTAAACTG